GTACTGAAAGAGTCACAAAGTCTTTTAATCCTGAATCAGGCATGTCAGATCATAACCGGATTGTAATTGTAGGGAAACATTCATACAGACAAGAGAGGTTATTTTAATGCTAAACCTAAATCTGTCTGACAGCACACAAAAGCATCTCATGTTATTTTTGCAAGAGTTAGGGAGGTTAAAAAAAAAATCCTCCACTCACATAAATAATATCTGTTACTATGGTTATACGAGGCCCTTTGGAGGTTAATGAAGCAGAGAGGCTGTGCGCTGAAGGCTGCTCTTAAATCTGGATTAACATGTGACGGAAGAACATTTCAGGAGTCAAGAAATGAAGCCGTAAAACGACCGAGGCGAGCCAGAGCTGATTATTTTATTAAACTAATCAATGAGTCCGAGGGAAATAGTAAATTACTCTGTGAAAAAAAAAAAGTATTGACAAAATCACAAAGAAGGAGGGCAGATTAGATCAGAACTGGGTAATAGAGGAACGATCAGAAGAAGACAAAGAGCGAGCAGCCGCGATCTTTAATTCATTCTCTGAGGTTTTGGTTCGGTGCTCGGCCAAGAGTTCTGGTGTCAGATGGAAAGTTCTTGAGGCTGCAAATTGCCTGTTTTTACTGTTGACAATACCTCATAATCAATGATAAAAGGGCCGAAGTCTAAGGATGCTTTTAGAAATAAATATATAGACATGAAGCCGTTGACTTGTTGGATAAATCTTCCAAAAACAACATTTTCCTTCTTCTTCAATGACCCTCGTTTTTAAATCAGGTGGTTACAGAAGTAGCCCATCAAATTATAGACCCGTTAGCATCCTTCCAGTAGCCTCTAAAATCGCTGAAAAGGTCGTCGGTGATCAGCTGGTGTCTCATTTGAACGACGGGGTTTACGCGGTTTGGATCCCAAAGCTTCACCCGACAGAAACGACAAACTGTTTTAAACAAATCAGACGCTACCTGGATAAAGGTGAAGCTGTCGGAGCTGTTTGTAGAGTCGAAGAAGGCATCTGACATAGTTAATCATAACATTTCACTTTCAGAGCTCTACAAGTTTAACATTTCTGTCAAAGCCCCGAGCTGGACTGAAATCCTATGTAAATGAGAGGAAACTACGAGTGTGTCGGAGAAGTTCCAGGACTGGTGTCACAGAAGATACAAGAGTTTTCCCCTTCAGACGATCAAGCAGCACGTCTACAAAGAGATCCTGCAGCGTTTGCTTCGTTCAGAGTTGTGTCAGGACCAGTGGAGGCTGCTTCACCATGACAACCTGCTCACAATGCCCTGAGCATCCCACCGCTCCTGGCTGAGAAGAACATCTCCGTGCTGGAGCAACCTCCCTACTCACCCCACCTGGCTCCGTGGGGTTAGTTCCTCTTCCCCAAACTCAAGGGGGTCATCAAGGGGACCCGTTTAGAGGACGTGGACAACATCAAGATGGCTGTGACGACGAAGAATCCTTCCAGGAGTGCATGGCGACATGAAGGCAGAGAAGGCTGGGGATGTGTGTTAGACTCCAGGGGGATTACTACGAAGGGTAAAACTTGAAAAATATCTTTTGTGACACCAGTCCTGGAACTTTTCTGACACACCTCGTTACCAGAAGAAAGGATGATGAGTGCTCCCTATTTGCTATTTCTACAGAAGGGGTCCCTTAAGGCTCTATTTTAGGACCAATTTTACTTAATATATAAATTACCTTCCTCAAGTTTGTCCAGATGTGACCGTCCAGATGTGTGTTGATGATGCTGTGATGTTTATTCAATCTAAAGAACAGCTGAAGTGAGCAACGTGTCAGACTGGTTACGAATTCTAGCTTGAGTCTTAAAAGCAAAACCGTTTGCATGAATTTCACAGTGAGGAACAATGACTCAGCAAACTTGTGAAGCTATCAAACCTTAAATATCCGAGCATTATATATATATATAAATATATATATAACGGCACCAGTTGTCCCCATCTGCTCTTTGTAGACACTCTTTGTTCCCCATCTGTCTCATTGCATTACAGCCTGGTCGCAGGCAGGTGTAGCTACACTCGCTGTACAAACAAATCCTAAAAGTATCAGATAAAAAGCCAAGAGATCATCGTCACTGCAATATCCTACAAAAAATACAATTTCCTCTATTACTCTGAAACATGCCTGATGTTTAAAATTATTCATAATCTTGCAGCGCCGTCTCCCAGAGGAGGCCCGGCCCACCCAGGCAGCAGCAGCAGCAGCAGTGCAGGCAGGACCAGAGCCTCCACCAGAGCAGATGGATAACACGGTTCAGAAAGACAGCTTCTGGTCAATTTCTTTTATCTTGGCTAAAGCAGTGAGAAACATCAGACATTCAGGAAACTCTGCATGAATAAAACCAGCCTGGAGGTTTGGCTGGAGTCAGCGTCCACCAATGATCACCTTTAATTTATTGTTTTTTTACTGATTTTATTAATTATCTCACATTTTCTCACAAAAGATGCAAATTAGCTGCGAGCTAACTCTGGCGCGATTACTTCAAAACACTCGGCAGCCCTCAAGCGTTTGTTTTGAGCGATCTGAATAAATGGGGAGAGAGTCGTCATGACGATTCTAATGGTCACTGGGACATGAAACTGCTTCCACAGAGCGACAAGTCAGTTCTGAGTTAAAAACAAAAACAAAACACTGAATACGTTTGGTGATTTTGCCCTAAAATAAAATCTAAACACAGGGTTTCCACTGATGTTCACATTGAACACACGGAGCTCTGTGGATTTTCTGAAAGGCTGCGACTTTTTCCAGGACGTGGCTGTTAGTTACAGATCAGGCTGTAACACTGAGTCAGTGTGGTTAGTCCAGAGGTGTCTGTGTGTGCAGGAGTTCTGGAGAATTCAGAACGTTCTTCTGTGTTTGAGCATCGTCGATGGACGTCTTGTACAAATCAAAGTCGGGCAGAGACTTGTTCAGCTAAAGAGAAGTTATTCAGGTGTGGATGATGGAGAGTCGTCTTGTACTGTCTCCTTCCATAACAAGCATTTGTTTTAAGCACCATTTGTGTTCCTGGTTGCATGGGCAATCTATGTGGCCACAAATTTCGGGCTGCACTCGAGAATTTAGTTAGACAAGGACCTTTACATCAGGCTTTCTCTTGCAGAAACATGGACACGGACAACTGGCCTTAAAGCACCACCACTCTGGCTTTTCTCCAAGTCGATGAAACTGTTGACGAAAGACCTACTTTAGATGTTTTAATCCAGGGCTGCAAGGTGGCGCCTCGCAGCTAGAAGGTCGCCGTTTGGCGTCCCGGTGAGGACACCCGGGATCTTTCTGCGTGGAGTCTCCATGTTCTCCCCGTGCAGCGTGGGTTCTCTCCGGGTTCTCCGGCTTCCTCCCACAGTCCAGAAACATGCTGAGGTTAATTGGTGATTGTAAATTGTCCGTAGGTGTGAATGTGAGTGTGCTTGGTTGTCTGTCTCTAAGTGTAGCCCTGTGATAGACTGGTTACCTGTCCAGGTGAACCTGCCTTCACCCTGAGTCAGCTGGGATAGACTCCAGCCCCCCTAGTGAGGATGAAGGTGTAGAGATGATGATGGATGTTTTAATCTATAGTTTCGTATCTATAAAATTTCACCAGAGCCCAGAAATAGGTTTATTTTACAGTATTTTTTTCTTGCATTACTTTATTCCAATATAAAGCACATGAGCCCAGCAGGTGAGAGTGTACAGAGCCTGCAGGAGAAAGACGACTGAATATTTTTTGGCTTCTGCACCAGTCAAGCTACTTTCATTGACGTGATTGAGCACCATCTTTAAGCCTGGTATCGAGCTCTTCTAATATAGCCATAATGCAGACTCACACTAGGGACCATAGGTCAGGATATCTCGGCCTCTGCTGCATTGATTTTAAAAAAGTCGGTCTCCCAACATATTTGAGTGCACTATCTAATCACTGCAGGGCCTTTTTAAAGCCGTACCAACCTGTACGTACCTGCAGACGGACTTCTCCTGCTGCGTATCTGCACGACTCGCAGTAAACAAAAACGGAATCATGTAAATAATGGTGCAAACGCCGACTACAGAGAAGCCAACCAGAGAGGATCACACACAATATCAAGCCGTTCCTCCAGCCATCTGGCATCTACATCCAAATTTAGCAGCGAGCCCAGCTCTTCTCCTCCTCTCCAAGTCCATAAGGGAGTTCTTGTTCCAGGAAAAGCTGCTATCAAAATTTGGAATTTATAAAAATATAGTTTTTTTTTCTCCCCTCCTTGTTTTATCATGTTTTGGACACAAGCAAAAAAGAAAAAAGAAAAAAAAAAGAAGCAGAATGCACACTTATCTCTAGCAAAAGAAATAGGCTGCTTATTGGACTCGAGGATCAGCATGTCCAAGCCGCCAGGATTCGTCACGCCTGCCTTCCTCAATCTGAAGATCGCTTTCAGATAGTCCAAGTTTTCTTTTCTGTTTAAACTTCTTTATCTCGACCCCACTTGCCAATCGAAACTTTCAATTTAATGGTACCAGTTGAACTCTCTCTGTTTTATTTCTTATTCTCCAGTACATATCTCATCGTCTCTTCTCAGAGTTCCTGAGAGAAGAGGTGGTCGTCCTCCTCACGGCTCAGTTCATCACTCTCTTCAATCAGACGGCGTTGGAGGTGAGCGATCCATCAGCCAGAGTTTCCAAACATTTCTCACAATATCTCGCTGTTTTTACTGAGTTCTGCCTGGAAGCACCTGCAGAGACTAGAAAGTAAAACTGATGTAAGTCTGTAGAGAATGAAGAGGCCTCCTCTCTGAGTGATTATCCAGCTGTACTTACCTGCTTTATGCCAGCTTAATATCAAAACTGAATCATTCTTTTGAAGCTGCTTGCCTCAGCTCAAACACAGAACCTCTCACTGACTGACCTTGTGGGCATCTTTTCTAAAAAAAAACAAACAACGAATCCCCCAGACCATGGTGACTCCTCTGACGCAGCGCTACTTCGGTTTTGGCGAGCTGGGCAACAGTCTGATGTACAGCCTGTGCGGGGTGGAGGTCATCCTGGGCTTCTTCTTCGTGCGCTGGCTGAGCAGCAAGGTGGCGGACCGCGCCGTGCTGGCCACCGGCCTGGTCATCTGCTGCACCGCCTGTACCTGGTGCCTCGTCTTCCTCTGCAACCCGCGAGGTGCTAACCTGCCAGAGAAAACACACAAACACACGCACGCAGGCTCAGAAACAAGAAAAAAAAAAAAGAAAGCGGTCTAGTTCTCGAAGCCAGATCCTCTCTGTGCGACCAGTGTTTGGTGTGTCGAGCACAGCGGAGCCATATTGGGTTACACACCGGCTGAATCGAGTGTGCTCTTGTAAGTGATACCACTCGGGCTCTGGCAGTCCAGCAGGAGATCGTACAGGCAAACCGGATCCTGTATGTTCATGTTGGCCTGCGTCTGTTGCAGCTCGTCACGTTTATCGCCGTGATTACAAATGACAGGTGCTGGAGCTGGGTAGTGCCTGGGTACATATAAAAGGATTACACTAATCTAATTACACAAAAACGCTATTTGTTAAAGCATAACCGACATTTGTTCGCTATTTGTTACAGTTACAGCGAAAACAACCAAACAAAGACGTAAAACCTACAAGACAGATACCTGAGAAAAAAAAAAAACATGTTTTTTTTTCCTTCTTCTTGGATCACTAGGAAACATGCTTGATTGGTGAAATTGCATTTTGATCATAAGATTACAGAGTTTCAGCTCACGCGGGAACATCCAACAGTTTGAGTGGGCACAAATTCACACAAACATGTGCATGATGCAAAGCAGCAGAGAACAAAAATGGAGTGGCTGCCAGCTTGGCAGTAGTTTCATTTTCAGAGAGAGCTATCTCTGCTAGCGCCAGCCCGTTTGTGGAAGAAACTTAAAAACCGATGGAAGAGGGGCTGGGTAACTGAAGTACGATCTGTCGCACTCTTTGAGTGTTTACCACTACACATGAGAGAGGAACAGCAACAAAATACTCACATTTAATCACTAAGAGATCCACCAAATACACAAGATACGAGATTATAGTCAATGGTTAATGATATATTTCTTGTAATCTGGGAGCAGACTGTTGTCATTGGGTAACGCCGTGGTATCATCCTTGCAACCCTGCCAGGTGGTTACGACTGGGAGCTGTCGGCCTTCATCATCGGAGTGTTTCTGCAGCTGCTGGGGCTTCCCTTCGTGGCCGTGTCTCAGGTGTCGCTCTTCTCCAAAGTTACTGCTGAGAAAACACAAGGTTGGCTGGTTTTACCTTGGCACGGTTTGCACGGCTCGACACATTGAAACAACAGATTGTTGCTCAGTGTATGTGATGCATGAAAAAAAAAAACACACATACTGTGCTTTAAAGCCATATTGTAATCTTAGGAGATGAGAGAAATAGTTTTTTTTTTGTTTTTTTGTGATGCCTCACCAAAAGGATTCAGCCAAGGTGTCAGACGCTCAGTCGGGGGCCTGGCCACCATCTTGGGTCCTCTGTGGGCTGGAGGATTGACCAACAACTTGTACATAATGCTGGGAATGATGCTAGCTCTCCTCGTAATGATCACAGTAAGTAGAGCAAGTAGCCGTTATGGACTGGCTTGATTGGCTTAGCTTAACATAGCATAGCATAAGCACTAGCATAGTATAGGGGTTGACAACTTCCCGGCTTTGATTGTTATGACACGTATGCCCAAAACCCAAAGTGCAAAACTGTACATATATGAATTTGTCACACATGGAGAATATGAAGCTAACGCCTGAGAGCTGGTTAGCTTAACGGTGAAACAGCCATCTTGGATTATTTAAGGAAACCCCACAACAACAACAAACCTAAACATAAACAACCAGTTTAAAGCTTCTGAAAACCTGAATTTAAATCTCGAGTTAAGAAAGCAGACACCACTCTCATGTCTGTATGATAAATGTGAACCAGCGACTGGCTAGCTTAGCATAAAGGCTAAAAACCTGCATTACCTGCTCTGTATGATAATAACACCTTATGCTTACTATCATCCCTGAAGGATGTTATATTTAATATGTTCAAAAAACGCAAAAAGCATCAATTAAGCAGAAAAAAACACTAATTTTTGTTTTTACATTTTATTTTTTAATACATTAAAAAAGTAGATATAAAACACTGCATTTAGTAAGTTTCAGAGCGGCTGGTAGGAAGGTTTTGCTACTTTTAGTCAGATACAGGCTAACTGTTTGACCTTTCATTTTTTATGTTAAGCTAAGCTAAGCTAAGCTATGCAGTTCACATATTTACTATATATAGCCTACATGGGTGTGGTGTTAATCCTCTCATATAACTCTTGTATTTTCTTAAATCTAAGCTCTTACTTTAGTTTACAGTCGTCAGGGAGCTCGAGGTGACACAATATAGTCGATTGTGTCTCTTTTAAAGAAAAAAAAAGTTTCCATAACTGTAGTTTTAAGAAAACTTCTTTTTTTCTTTTTTTTGTCATCCACCTAAAGTGAAAAACAGCCACAGGGTGTTCTTTCCAGTAAAATCCTTACCTCAGCATGTCTGTGATCGCCTCTACTTATTACTAGGTTCTCTCTACTCTCTGAAGCACCTTATGTTTGATGTTTAAAAATGTAAATGCATCAATTTTGCATAAAAAACACCAATTGCTGTTTATATGCATTGTTTTGGTTTTTTTTTCAATAGTTTGATTAAACAAGGCAGATATGAAATATTAATTAGTGAGCTTCAGGGGTGCTGGTGGGACGATGTTGTTAGTTTTAGGCAGAAACAGACTACATGTTTGATTTTTTCCCACTCTTTATACTAAGGTAAGCTAAGCTAAACATTTGGCATATTTTCTGCACATACTTGAGTGTGGTATCAATCTTCCCATCTAGCTCATGGAGTTCTCAAAATCTCAAGCTTAGTTTAATTTAAATGTAAAAGCAGGAGCTGTTAGACCTTCTTTCCACTCTTTGTGCTAAGCTAAGCTAAGCTAAGCTAAGCTAAGCATTTAGTGTATTTACTGCACACACAAGCTTGGTATCAATCTTCCCATCTAGCTCAATTTTTTCCTACAGTCTCAAGCTCTTAGTTCAGTTTTAATGCTGTAAGAAGCTGGATCTGTTTGACTTTCATTCCATTCTTTGTGCTAAGCTAAGCTAAGTTAAGCTAAGCTATGCAGTTGGCAAATTTGCTCCACATACATGAGTGGGGAGTCGATCTTCCCATCTTTGATTTGTCAACATCTTAAGCTCTAGTTCAATTTAAATATAAGAACCAAGAGCTGCTAGACTTTCTTTTCATTCTTTGTGCTAAGCTAAGTTAAGCAAAGCTAAGCTAAGCTTAGCAGTTGGCATATTTACTGTACATACATGAGTGTGGTGTCAATCTTCCATCTAGCTCTTTGATTTCTCAAAATCTTAAGCTCTAGTTCAATTTAAGTGTAAGAACCAGGAGCTGTTAGACTTTCTTTCCATTCTTTGTGCTAAGCTAAGTTAAGCTAAGCTAAGCTAAGCTAAGCAGTTGGCAAATTTACTAAACATACATGAGTGTGGTATCAATCTTCTCATCAAGCTGTAATTTTTCTTAAAATCTGAAGCTTAGTTCAATTTGAATGCTGTAAGAACCAGGAGCTGTTTGACCTTCTTTTCATTCTTTGTGCTAAGCTAAGCTAGGTAAAGCTAAGCTATGCAGTAGGCAAATTTATTGCACATGCATGAGTGTGGTGTCAATCTTCCCATCTATCTCTTTTATTTCCCTAAATCTCAAGCTCTTCGTTCAGTTTTGATTTTATAAGGTGCTGAAGCTGAAATATTCTTGTGGATAGTTTCTCAATTTTAAACCATCCAAAGCTGTGGCTTAAAAAAAATAAGAAAAAAATCCTTCTTCACCCACCTAATGTGAAAAACAGCCACAGGGTGTTCTTGCCAGTAAAATCCTTAACTCAGCATGTCTATGATAGCCTCTACTTATTACTCGCTGCTCTCTATTCTCTAAAGCCATATCACGCTGGACGTTTTCACAGGTTATGACGGCGCTGTCCTACGACCGGCTGACTGAGCCCAGGGCGCTGCAGTGCGCGCACAGCTCCGACAGCGGAGGATAGAGCTGCAGTCCGTCTGAAGAGCAAGCGAGGCTAAAGACGGACGGAGGGAATGCCCTTCACATCTGAGAGAATCAATACAAGTTTACTGCAGAGGAAAGTGTATGAGTGTGGAATAAAAATGTTGAAAACACACACTGGAGCTGAGAAGCTGCCACAGAGGTGATCACACTTCACAGGTAACCAAAAAAAAAAAAAAAGTGTGTGTGTTCCTGAGCTCTGCACCATCGCTTCTGCTTTCAGACATTATTAGAATCTACCAGGTAACTATTAGACTATTAATTATATTTTACACAAGGGGGCACCATTGCTCTCATATTGAATATTCAGAGGTGTAATTGAAGATGAAAGCTATTATTTTTAAACTGAACTATTTATATTCCCTGGTGTTGATGAAAAAAAGCAGGTTTGCTCGTGTGACCCGTGTACCAAAATTTTGTTTCTTGTGCTTCGTCTTTCTTCTTGCAGAAAAAAAAACAAAAAAACCCTCTGCTGACACAATGAGTGCACAAGTGGAGTTGTCAACATCTGAGCGTGTCAGTGTAGCTGATAGAAGACGAGGGTCAAAGCGAGCGAAGCTTCACACATTTGTTGGAGTAAAACTAGACGCTTAAATATAATCCGAGCAAAATCCAGACCCTTGGATGTAATTTAAAAAGTTTGTTGTTATCTGGATCTGTTCCTCCGCCGCAGCTTTTTGCAAATGAGAAGCTCCTGAATTAAAAACCAAATTTAAAAAAAAAAAAGCACTTGTTAATTAGCCCTCTCTATCTTTTTACTATGGGGGAAGACTTAAAGTTTAATTGCCTGTATTCATAATTTAAAGCGTGACAAGGTGTGTGTGTGCGGCGTACCGTCAGCTGTTCTTGCCTGTGTTCTCCTCTAGGATGTGCTGCGTGCTGCCAGAGAGGAGATCGCTGAGAGCAACATCAAGGCATTGTCGATTCTCTTTGTACCAACGAACGTGGCTTTGGCCGGTTTCTGTGTTTTTGCATAATTGCAGATAAGGCTCGGTAACCTTTCCAGTTTTCTACACTCAGCATGTGATGTTTGGCTTTCCGGAAGCTTTTTTTTTTTTTTTTGCCTGAAATGGAAATTCTAATCTCTGGGACTCAAGGACATAATATATATAAGTACTTTCATGCCCTGATCAGCGTATTCAGGTACTTGACATTTTAACGGAGATAACAGGGAGCAAGGAATCAGGTCAAGCCTGAATTTACTCTCTTTGAACTGGCTCAGCTTTTTTTTTTTTCCCCTGCATGATTCCTGCTGTCTTATTTTTATTTTTAGAGAAATTCCTTCACAACAGCCTAAACACTCACAAACTCCGTCTTTAGCATTAAACATTCATGGCTAAATAAGAATCGATCAAAGGGAAATCAGGGGGAAAACAAAATAAGTAGTTATTGAGTTAAGCTATAACACATCTCTCCTCGTGCACGAGTTCAATTCGTCGGACATCGACTGCGCTCTGGCTCGGTTCGATTGCCTCGGGGGGCTTTTGTTGCACGACCAGGAGTTTATGGAGGCTAATATAAGCTAGCTTTAGTCATTTTTGAATAAATATCACTGCTGTTCGCTGTCTTTATGACATTTGCACCTACGTTTTTCAACGCAACAGATGAAAAATTCCAGGATTTTAACACGCCGCACTTCGCCAGGACACACATGTGCAAAAAGAGAAAAACACAACAACATGTGTGTGTTTGTTATTTTAGTTTTTCTTCAGGCCTTTATTCGACAGCATGACACCGTCGGATAAAAGTGTGGCAGCAAGGCTTTCATTTACTCAAACCAAGGACATCACGGATGCAGGAACAGTCATCTGTGATTTCACATACAAGACGGTGCGGACCGGTTATCTTCCGCCTCCATGACAGCCTATAGAGACGGCACCCTCCCCCCCCACCAAGACGTAAATAGAGAAGTCAGAGGCCTTGGGCTTTTATGTTAAATACACCAGAGGTAGGCACCGACGCACAAGTTATGAAATTTTAAAGATACACAGAACAACCATTTGGTGCAGAAGCAAACAATTATTTCTGTGGATGAGAGTTTGTCGCTATGGAGATGGGATTTGTGAGGAAGCGGGGTGTAGGGTGGAGGGTGGAGGGATGAAGCTGAAGATAAAATAATGTGTAATTGAGAGAGTGGAAACCCAGGTTTTTATTTCTGGTGTGGAACAGATGAACGCGTAGCGGAGCTTCAGCGGAGGCATCTGCATGTTTTACTATAAATGACTCAGCGTGCCGTTGATACGCTGGAACTATTTTCACGACACGTCGAGGAAGAACGAGCTCGCCGTGTGTAAAAATACCCCCATGTAGCCATTACTCAGCGTTTAGTGCTTTTTTGTGTTGCCGCTGCTGCTCCGCGATGAAGCGAGCTGTGAAGAAACTACAGTTTAGGCTGTTGTGTGGAGTCGTATTGTTGCGAGGAAACGATTACGCGAAGGTTTTTCTCTCTGCGTGTCATTACACTCAGGCTTTTTGACCTCCTACATGATATCTATAGACATCTGACATGTTTCTGATGAGCGGCGGTCTTCGTAACGGTGATCTTTCTGAAAGCAGAGCCACACGTGCTGGGGAAAACTGCTTTAAATCCAGATAACTTGTTGATTTAAAGGCTTGAATCTCTTTACAGACATAATTAATGTTTTGAAACCACAATTATTATTATTATTATTTTGCATTTGTTGTCTCAAGGCAACACTTCGGCTACAACATTATACTCTGGACTGCTGCATTAAAATGTAAAATGATGACCCTGCTCCTGCTGCTGGTGATGGACACATGCTAATTTTATGGTCTGCAGTGGCAAAAAAGAAGCCGACCTACGGTTGGGGTCAGCTATGTGCAGGGACGACTGGTTTTGTGTTGTGTATTTCTGTTTTGGGTTGTGTTTTTATGCTGTTGTTTGCGGTGGAGAGCGAACGCGAGGGGAGAAAGGAGGGAATGAAGCGCAGCAGATGCAAGATGGGAAAACCCTCCATGACGTCACGTTTCCTGGAGAGCTGTGTTGAACGTGGTGGCTCCGGATAAACGAGCAAAGAGGTGGAGCGAGAGTGGAGCGAGTGATGGCACCCGCTATCTACTATCATCTAAGTGGGTCAGCTGGATAAAAACTCACCACCTGTACGGTTGTCATGAACAAATTAGCAATTCTTTTTTTCTCACCAGGCTGTAAACATGTTTATTTCTGCTGTAAAGCTCCACATGTGGGTCTATAGGGACCGACTTGCAGGCCTGGAGGTTGCCGCTTGAGCAAGTGGTCCCGGTGGAATCGAACCCGGGACTCGCTGTTCACGGCGCTCGCAGCCACGCAGCTATTAGGTGGCCCAGAATTATTCATTTAATAAGCTAATAGGGATGTTTGCCATCGACGAGAGCGAGTAATAACATGTAACTATTAAAATGTAAAAGCAGAGCATGCTAAGCTAAGAGAAGCTAAGAGAATAAAATGAAATGTTGTGCTACCAGATATACCATATGCACTGACAGGTGGCAAATTAAACACAAAACCTGAACCCCTGACCCCTGCGGTGAGGGGATCCGGTGCCTCTGTTGTGGGGACATGTTGCTGGCATGACTTGGGTCCACGTGTCCCCTCAATTAACACCGAGTTTATTCTATGGTGAAAGATTTCTTGTTATTATTACGATGGGAGCGATCTGTTCCACGATAACAACACCTCCATCTAAATGACGAGAGGGGTCACAGAATTAGACTGATTTTATTAATCCCCAAATTTAGTTGTTACAGCAGCATGAATGCTCAACAAAGGGGGTAAACAAAGCAAAAACAACACATGAAAGAAAGAAAAGTCAACAAGCATTATAATATATATACATAAATAAGAATTATTAGAGGGTAAAAGGGATGTGACTCATGTGCCAGTTGCCAGATTTCAACCCAGTTGAGCGCTTATGGCTGATTTTGGACTGACTCGCTCTCCACCACCAACATCAAAACACCACATTCTTCAGTTGTGACTCGATAATCCGACACTAAATGTAAAACCTTCTTTCATGTCGGATAGCAAGGCTGTCGGATTGTCAAGCCGGAGGTCGAGATACAAGGAGGGCTTGATGCTGGAAGGCTCATTAGTTGTTAATTATTGTTCATAGTTGTTATAGTAACTAGTGTGTTGTTAGAACACTACGCATCGCTGGATTTCAGCCTAACTGACCGGTGTGCTGGTGCACGTTCCGGCCAAATAGACACTTCCACCCCGTCAGAGTGCTTCCCGGGGTGGAAGTGTCCAGAACACACAAGCAGTACTTGGCTGCTGATGCTAGTTTAGTTAGCGGTCACGCTTCTGTTTCCACCACCGTTGCCATCCATGTTTACTTCCGTAAACACTGAGCACGCTCGCTGCGTGTGACGTCGTCGTGTCCTCTTCTGCACATGTGGGACACTTTTGGGTCGTATGAAGTTCACACAGCAGATCACATACAAGTCGCATTAAACTGGAAATGTGAAGGAACACACAAAGAAATCCTCATTGAGCATCAAGTCCTGCAGTGTGAACGTAGCCAATCTGTGGGATTGTTCAGTCAGATAATACGCTGTTATCCTGATTGGTGACATAAAATGTCATGTTGGAGTCAGAATCCAAGGCTGTCGCTATGTTAAGGCTGTTTTTATGGGTTCTGTTGGTTTTTCCTAAAAACCTGTCGGATAGCAAGGTTTAGGATTGTTAAGGGTCGGATTATCGAGTCATGACTACATCCATCCCTCCAGTAGAGTTTACAGACTTGGAGAATCAATGCTAAGAAGCTTTGAAGCTGTTCTGGCTGCACATGATGCTCCTGATGCACCTCACGAAAACATTAGCTATGTGATAACATAACCTTGCACATGGAATTTTTTTAATGCGAAAAATCTTTATTTTTTTTACACATAAAAATGTTTTGATATGGTGGGATGGTGTTTTTATTCATTATTAGATTTTTTTTTCTTCTTCTTTGACCCATAAAAGCAAATTTATACAATAGAGATTTCATCAAATGCATCTAATCCACTTTCATGACGGAGAAATTTCACCGACGGCTCGTTTCGGGGCCTTGACCGGCTTTGAAGCCAAATTGACGCTGTCGTCTGACAGAGATAAAGGTGTTCGGTCCCAAAGAGAAAAACAGCGTTTGACTGGAGCCGATGTGTAACAATTATGTTCACGGCAGCAGCAGCAGAGAGGCGGCGAGCGGCTCTCCTCCTCCTGATGGTATTAGCCGGACTGAGGACGGTTGTTAATAGGTCGGAGATGATAGATGAGTTATTAGTTACCAGGGAGGAGGGTTGAGGGGGGGATGAAATCAGGCCAGCTATATTCAAACCACGATTCTGTCTTTTTATTTATTTTTTTATTTTAACCCTCCCTCCCTCCATCCGTCCCTCCTGCTGCCGTCCATATTTTGTGCTGAGAGATTTTGTCCTTACAAATCATTTCTTAAGAGGTTTAATTTTACAGGAATATATTTATTCAGGATGTAATTTTGTTTCCTCAGAGGAGACAATTCATCAAGAAATCTTTTAAATAGACGTCAGCGCTTTGGTCTCCCGCCAGCTCGCTCAGAGATTTACAGTTTCGTATTGTTGCTGACTTCAGAATCTGGATGTCATTGCCGGGGCGTGGTCCGGCGC